TCTTAGGGCTTGGACTGTGTTAGCCAAAAGAGAAGGAATAGATTTCCTTCTGTTCCAAGATATTTGGGAAACTTCTACTCCTTTTAATTTAGCATGATCATGTCTAAGAACATTTTCTCCTAGGCTATGGTGCTGAAAACTTGGACATACTGTACTTTCACAATGGAGGGACCTCAGTGCACAAGGGAGCCATCACAACAAGGATATGATTGACTAACACATGATATATCTACTCATCAGATTAGCCTATTGAGACTGATCATAAGCAAAGCTTGAGTTTAGCTTTATCAATGGACAGCATTGTTATATAAGATGAAATCAAAGGCCAAAAAGTTAAATTTGGAGTTTCAGAATCATGTGAAAAGAATTTGTCCCATTAAAAAAAAATAAAAGCATGATATTACAACCTGTGATATTATCTGTGAAGTGAAAAGACTGCTATGTCCCCAGATGCCCTATATTTTGGCCTATTATGCTTTGTGGCGATTAAAAAAAAAAAGACAAAAATAAGAGAAATTAAGGCTGTCAGAGGGTGAAGTGGTGATTCTGGACTCCTCAAGTGATGTAGTTTTTTCAAAATCTATCAAGTCCTCCTTTGCCCAAAGGGGTCACATGAATTTCTCATGGGGATAATGCTGAATTCATGCACTTAGCTTACTTATAAAAGGGCAGAAAGAGCAACTGTGGATCCAGCTTTTATTATACAACCATGTCTCTAGCAGTCTGTGGTGGGAGGGGGAATTTTTAGAATAGGGCTTGTTTAGATCAGGAAGTGGGGGCAGCCAAAGAGGCTGCAGAATGATGGAGAAACCATCAAAACAAAAACTCACTGCCAATTTACAGAAGTTGAGCCCCCCTCCCCAAGCACTATGAAAAGAAGTTCTAAAGACTGCAGAGAAGTAAGTTTAAAAAAATCACCTCCCAATTCTTCTCTCCTTAGTTCCCTGCCTCCTTCAGAATATCAGCTGGGAAGAACTGCCTTCCATTAAGATGCTCTGAGTGATGGTTCTAAAAGCTAATGGCCATTGGGATTTCATTCTTGAACTAGTGTCTACTTCAAAAGCTTGTTGCAAGCAAAGCTCCTTTGGCAGAATGCAAAGGATTAACTAATATATTAAGCAAGAGGGAAGAGCAGGTACCCTTCCAGATGCTGATGAACTAAAGCTACCAGCCATGCATAAAAATTGTAGCTCGCTAAAATCTGGATGGACGCGCATCCTGCAAGCATGTTTTAGAGCTGTTCTGTAGTGCAGGAGGGCTGTGTTCTGAAGTGCTATCTATGCATGTTCTCCAGTCTGGTCCCATTCCAATGTTTTGAACCACAGGTCCAATCATTCTTTGGCTAGCATGGTGATATTGGTTGGGTTCACAGAACACGCTTTGCTCGTTTACTAAATAAACCCAGTTTCTGAATTTACACATTGTGTTGAAGCATAAATGAACCACACAGGCTGGGTTTGTATAACAGACAGAGTTCAGAAAGGAAACTTAGCGCATTGAGCAAATCCAGCCTCTAGATCTGGTGAAGCAGGTTGCTTGAACTGTCTGTTTTCCATGGGGCTGTTGTAAATGGAGGACATGTAAATGTCAACACCCAGCTCAGGTCCCCTCCCCACCAGGATACAGATATTATATTTACATATTTAAGTGCTATGGTAGCTTTCATGTGCCAATAGGATAATGTTGGTCACCACAAACAGAAATGCCTGCAATGTTTGATGGTACTGGTGATCATGGAGAAACCACTGGTTCTGTGTTGACTTCAGGAGTAGGTGCTAGTGGTAGTAACTCAGGAATTAGAGTTGAGTTTACAGCCACATCAGTCATAACTTCTTTCAGTAGCTTTGTTGCCTTCAGCTGGACAGGTGTTCTCTTTCAGGATAAGGACATTACTCAATCTGTGTTAGCTGTTTTTCTGAACTCTGCTCAAATTAGATTTGAGAAGATCCAACCTTGAACAAAAAGAACGACCAAAGAACAACATTGCTGGCCTTTGATTTGTTGTTGCCTGTGTACTGTGTTGCAATATGTAAATAGAAATATAGCAAGCTTTTGATTCAGTGTGAACCTTTCTTTAGACAATGCCTGCAAAGCATTCTTGAGACTTTGAACAAACTTTTCAGCCAATCCATTTGTAGCTAAGTGGTGTGGGCTGATGTTATATGTCTGATTCCATTCTTTTTCAGAAATGTTGGAAATTGTCCGGCTACAATTGTGGTCCATTGTCACTCACTAGTTGTTCTGGAGCACCTGTTCTTGCTTAGAATTTTCTCAATATATCTGTGGTATGTGTGCTATTGTTAAAGTCATTAGAAACATCTCTGGCACTTTGAACATGTATCCACCACAACTAAAATCATTGTACCTATACAGTGAGGCTTAAAAGTTTGTGAATCCTTTTGCATTTTCAATATTTGTGCATAAATATGACCTACGACATGATCTGTTCTCCACACAAGTCCTAAAATTAGATAAAGACAACCCAGTTAAACAAATGAATTAAAAATTGTACTTGTTCATTTATTTATTGAGGAAAATGATCCAAAGCTACATATTTGTGTGTACCAAAAGTAGGTGAACCTCAAGGATTATCAGTTCATTTGAAGGGGAAATTAGAGCCAGGTGTTTCAATCAATGGGATCATAATCAGGTGTACTCAAGGTGGGAGGTCCTTATTTAAAGAACAGAATTATGGGTATTCACTATCAAAGACTTCAGAACATAGGGATGTGGAAGTATGTCATGGCTTGAACAATGGAGATTTCTAAGGACCTCCAAAAAGCAGTTGTTGATGCTCATCAAGCTGGAAAAGGTCACAAAATTATTTTCAAAGAGTTTGGACTCCACTACTTGTTACTTCAGCACCAGGTGTTTGCTAATATAGGTTTTTAATTGTTTTTTTGTTGGTTTTAGTGTAGCATCTCTGAAATGCTGCTTGAATTCACATTGTGTTATAAGCAACAGAACCAGTGTCCAATTCTACCAACATAGTGTTGCTACTCACTTCTGATATAAACATATTGCTAGCTTCATTTCACCTTTTATGCATTAGATTTCAAGATTAGCTATCCCTATTTTACTTCCATTATCAAATTCTCCATCTATATCATGCACAACTGAATTCCTTTGAAAGTAATGGCTTAGTTGCCTATCTTGAGTAAATGCTTTGTTTTTCCCTGAGTAACAAGCTGTTTGAAGATGTCATACATGCATTTTTTGAGCTTTCCTCTTTAAATCTACATTGAGCTGGCATGTGTGAACCTCTGCCACAACAATAGCACAGTTCATTTGGGCCTGTTACTCTTTGTGTGTATGCAGTTGCAAGCTTAGTCACATTTGCGTTCACTCCTGATTGCAGCTTTATAGTCTTTCTAGCAGCAGTTTCCATGGAGATAACAATTTCAAATGCTCTCTTAAATGTAAATCTCTGTCTGCTGAGAGTCTTTTTTTGAATGCTTTCTTTCAGAATTCCACCGAACAGCTTCTCAATTGTTTTGCCCTTCGCCAAATTTGCAATGTTCAGATAGTTTTTTGCTTCTTTTTGTTTGTGTTTGTAGAACCTGAAGTGGTTTGCAATCAATAGTCATTTTGATACCAAATGTCCCTGTGTTATTTCTGCAAAGCCAAGTTCTGAGGGGTTTTGTGAAGCAGTTAAGCTTTTTAATAAACTGTGTGCTTTGCTTCTCATGATCCCCAGTAAAACGAGCTTTTTTTCAGCAACTGTCTCATTGTCTCCAAAAATTGTTTAAGTCTGTCTTTATATAAAGTCCAATCATCTGTTGCACTATCAAACACATTAATCTTCCCAATAAAGCTATCCATCCTGCAGTTCTCTTTTTCTCTATGTTTTTACTCAGTGTGAATAGTTCAGTTTTATTCTGGCTTTGTTTTTACTGTCTCTCCTCCTTCTCTGTTGGTAAAATGAAGCTTGAGAAATTTTCTTTTTTTAACAATCAGACTTTGTTGTCATTGTTGTCTCTTCTCTACCAATCAAACAAAAGACAGTTGGGTCAGGTTTTTCTGCTGTTTGGTTTACTGAAACTTCTAGAAGAACTAATTCCAAGGAGTTTACAAGAATTATAATATACAGTAAGATCCAGATAATTGTGTTACAATGCAAAATCATAGGCATGTTCAATTAAATAAAAATAAAAATACAGTAATACGCTACATCCTCAAGTCCCCACCCACCAATATTTCAGTCCCTAGGCAATATAAGAGGTCTCATTCCTGTTGTATACGTTCAATTCCACCAAGCTGGGCAAGATCAAGGAAGCAAGAACTACATAGATTTTAGTAAGAAACCTTTAATGCAAGGCTAGTATAAATACAAAATCTCAGAAACTATCATAGGAATAGCCTAGCCTAGCCTAGCCCGCCTTCCTTCCTTCCTTCCTTCCTTCCTTCCTTCCTTCCTTCCTTCCTTCCTTCCTTCCTTCCTTCCTTCCTTCTACTTTGTATTAGTTTGT